TTGGCCCAACCAAGCCGTAACCCTAACCCTAACCTCCACCTCCTAAAACCAAGCCGTGCCCACTAACCCTAACCCTAAACCTCCTAAACCAAAGCCGTAACACTAACCCTAAACCGACCTACTAACGCCAACCGTACTACACTAACCTTAACCTAACCCACAAACTACGCGTATATAAAGAAGTTATAAAATTCGCTACGGCATATGAGTCGGCATGATGATACGGCATATGACTCACTTGATGTGCTACGCAAATGTCGATAACAACCACATACATAAATGCGCAGATAACCCAGAATTGCTGTATAAAATAATGTATATTATTTAACAAACATCATAGAATAGTTCTCGGATAGTCAGGACAGTCTGTAGCGGTGCATCGCCCAGGCCTGAAAAGTTTGGTAGGTGGTAGGCTGTTTTTGAGGGGGGTCCTTTTACAAATTCAGCATGGTGTCTACTTATCTCTACTCTAGTAGCTATAGCGCGGGTGTGCTTGATCTGCTTGTGTGGAGAATACCTTTATGTTGAATCGGTTGTTTTTGCATTGGCACTATCAATGTATTGCACAGATTGTATATATTGTACACAGTGATACATTCTGTAAAAAAAAAAAAGAAACTGGAAAAGATCAAATATTTTTTTTGGAGTCGGCCCCTTCTGGCGGGTCAGTCGGCGTGAGGGCAAACAAACAATATTTTATTCTGGGGCCCCACAGTCTAATTATCAGAAGCGCGTGATAGCTGCTACATACGGTCCTACAGACGCATTGCACCCCGGAACCGTGAACGTCGCAGGTATAGACTGGGTCCAGTCGTGAAAGTCATATAAAAAAAAAAAAAAAACGTTTCTAAAAATACGGTAATAAATGTCTTAAATCAATCCTTTGCTACTTTGCGGGAATTTTTTTTACCCCAACCACCTGTGGTTGGAATCTTTCAATCTCCGTACCGCAGAATGCTGTTGGGGGGCGCTCAACCGTGCTATCTACGCGGCGTATGTGACGTGTAACTTCCACAGACTAGATACTAGTCTAGTCTGGAGTGTCTATATTCAGCGGTACGGGAAGATACGGTACGCCATTATTTGCTAATATGATTGACTAATTCGCGCGTCAATAAACTCAATATTCACAGAGAGTATAGCTATAGACATGTGTCTTAAGTATCTAAATAATATTTATGCAAACTGATCTCCCGTCACGCGGCTTGAATTCATATACATTCTGTGAATATTGAGTTTATTGACGCGCGATTAGTCAATATAGGCAAATATATGCGCGCGAAGTGAATTACAGATGATTAAATTTCTCAAATTCTAGATACCTATAGACACATGTCTTAGCTATACTCTCTGTGAATAATGTGAGTTATTGACGCACGATTAGTCAATATATTAGCAAATATATCGTACCTAATCTCCCGTACGGCCTGAATATAGACACTCCAGTTCAGTCCGCGAGAGGATAAGCACACATGAAATTGACAGAATTCGACCTAAAACGCAAACAGGCAACGGAGAGTAACCGGAACAGGGGTAGGGGGGGGGCGATGATACAATCAGGACGGGGTGTAAGGGCGGTACGGCAAGTTTGAGGAAAGAGTAAGAGATAGTGGAGTTGATCATTACAAAACAGCCACATGTATGCGGAACGGGGAGCTCATCCGCCGCGCGCGAGGGTAAGAAGAAGAAGAGAAAGAAGAGATAAGAAGAAGAAAGAAGAAGGGTGTAAACAGGGAAATTGAGCGACTGGTAACACTATGTGTGGGAAGGTGTGGATAGGAACGATGGCGCAAATAGTGGAGCGTGAAGCGGGCTGTAAACTGAGACGAAAATTAGCGGATGAATGACGCTGGGTGGGCGATGGGAGGCTAGGTGAGGGGCTTTAGCAGTAATTTCAACTACAAGCCCAAGAATCGGTGAATAATCAACCGTGTGTCAAGGCTATAGTATAGAATGAAAGCCATCAGGTTGATACCTAACACATCGCAGTAACGCTGAGGCCAGGCGCGAGCGACGTAAATACACACTGCTTCTGCTCTCTGTACGCCCTGATTGAAGCTTGCAGTTCCGGTAACCCGCCCCCACCGCCCACCGCCTGGCTCGGCGCTAATGCAAGGAAAAGATATACATCCCCCCTATCACCGTCCACTAGGTTTTCTGTTTCGCCCACACTCGCTCCCGTAAACCCGCAGTATCGTCCATCGCCGCGGCGCTGCAACGAACAATTGACCCAACGCTTTGACCCCATGTATACAGTAGACATGTCGCCACAGGTGTATCCAAGGGTGTGGCATCCCTCCCATCCAGGTACACGATAATTTGCACACGCTGCAGATGTGCTGGCCTCCCAGGCGCAACTACCCCTTGTTTTAGCGCTAACCCCATTGAGGACAACGCTTCGATATAATAAGTGGAGGGAAACACTTTGATCGAAGGAGGGGGAAATCTTCTTGCGGAAATTGCAACTAGCAACAGCCAGCAGTAGGCAGCAGCAACAGCAGCAGGCAATACAACAACAACAGCAGCAGCAGCAATAAAACAACAACAGCAGGCAGCAGTCAGCAGCGGCCCAACAACAACAGCCCCCCACGCAACAAAACACACAACCGCAGCAGCAATGGGAGCACGATCACGCCGCCGCACTGCCTCCGCACCCCCTACCATAATCCTGCACAACGCCTTTTCTCGGTGATCGCAATAGAAATATCTCGCGCGCTCTCTGTCTTTGTATTTGTCGATACATGCCGATCTTAGGAAAAAAAAAAAAAAAAAAAACTAAAAAAAAAAATGATGATACCGGTCGGTGAAAAAACACATATCGCTAATCGGAAGTTTTGATGTCGTTATTAGACCGTAAGCCGCTGCTTGCATCGACGATGGTGACGGCGAGGTTTGTGAAAGCAGACGTAGGGACTTACCGAGTCAGTAAAGCATTTGGGCGATACACAGATACGGAGATGCGATTACCAAACACATTATAATTCATTATATACAGGCACAACGTGAAAAAATTCGGAACACAAGAGTTCAATTCTAGCGTAGAGCGTAGACGACCGCCCCACGACCGACCCCGTGGGGCAACGCAATCAGGGATCTATGATCAGCAATATGAC